AGGAAACAGGAACAGCAGTTGTGAGTTGAGGAAGATAGCTAGCTGTCAGATCACTGGTGGCCCCTGATTGTACAGTCAACTGAAAACACCAGGAAGCATGACTCTCCCAGAAGCCCTGCTGGGGTTCTGGCTGGCTTAGTTGTCCTTGGGCTGGTGGCTTATGGGATTTTAGGTTTTGTGTTGAAAATGGAGCAGTGATGATTTTTATATTGTTGCCAAGCCAACTTCCTTTTAGGAAAAAGGGTTGGTAGCATACAGTCTTGGCCTTTTCAATTCCTAGAGCAATTTCCAAGCAATAGTTACAAATTTCAAAACCCAATTACTCCCCCTATAGTGTGTTGGGTCTTCTTACAGCTCTGATTTGAGGCAGAGCATGTGTTGTAGCTAACACTTAATGGGTTTCAGGTCTTGGCTAGTTGATTGGTTGTGCACAGCTTTTAAGTTTCCTGCCTCCACCCCATTTTGTCTTGTTTTGAATTTACACTTTTTTTGCACAAGCCATTCTAAATCTTAAGCTTAGTCTGTTGCCTGATAACCTTTTTGGCAAATGATCAGACAAACTTAAAGAACAAACGAATCTGATAAGTGTCTCTTATAATCCGGCTGATGTTGGCTTGTGCCTATGCACAGAGTTCCTATGAAATTGTATGCATTCCCTAAAGGTTTTGGTTAAGTGTTAACTATATTGTGTGGCTGAACAGATACACTTAGAATCTCTGTTTTTCATTCTCATAAAGTTAAGTGACATCTCAGCTATAGAACTTGAAGTTCACAGACACAGTAACTTGTGGTTTCTGTGTTACTAGATCAGTCTCTGGTCATTTTATCATCAGAAGATAAGAGCTGTGATGAGAAATGTGTAGAGAATCGATGCCTGCACAGCAGCCCTACATTCAGAGAATTCATTGATTAAAGCTTAGCACCAGATAGCCAGTGTTTCTCCGAACTGCGGAAGATTAAAGAGAAAATCACAGTGCAGCTTGTTTTTAAAGAATCGGTGTGGATCACAGTTCTCATCAGATTTTTGTTCTGTGTTCTGAGAAAAGGAAGGCAGCACATTTACTTTCTAAATGGTATAAAAATCCTTTAAAAGAGTGACAAGGATGCCAGATGGTGGCTCTGTTCCAACATTGCTTTGAGCCTCTTCTAGGATGCATAAAGCCCACCCTGTCTCCACAGAGAACCATGCATCCTGTCTCTTTCTCTTCCTTCTTCCTTTGTGGTGCCAGCTCCCACGACCCTCCCACCCATGGTCCTGGGCAACATGCAACAGGTACATGCCACCACACCCGACCTAGTCACTTTAGTGCCATTTGCAGCCCTTTACTGATTGGCACATCTTGGAGCTCTTTAGTGATATCTTTTTAGGTCATAGTCTTTAAAGTTTTATGTCTTTCAGGCTGATCATGTAATATTACAGTGTTAGTACATTTGTTAATTTACTTTGACTTTTACTACTTCATTTTTATTATTTAATTAAAAAAAAAAGAAAGGCATTGCTCCATCTCTCCCTAGAGCTTTGTTTTTCCAGTTAACTCTTGGAGTGGTTCTGTGCTAACAGGCAAGTAGAGCCGTGGATCTACTGTATGCTCAGCTTTGCATAAACTGGGAATTGTATAAACTCGGAGGAAGGATAGAGAGAATTTGAACTTTGCTTATAAGTGTGAATAGTACCCATTCTTCCCCCCTCTCCTTTCTTTGCCACAGGACACATAATGTTTAGTTGTAAATGTCTGTATTTTAAAGAGTTGTATGTTTGTATGGTTCAATATTAAAAGATAGAAACAGCAACGCACATACAAGTTACTGTGTAGGACTCTCATCTGTCCACCCTTGAATGGTGCCTTTAGACATGGTGTACTGACCTTTTTTGGCACTGTGTTTGTATTTATATTTTTTCCAAATTTCACTCTCCTTTTATTGGGGTATAATTAGTATTAAAATATTTGGCCTGTATGGCACCATAGTCATGAGGTGCAGTTTTTTAATGTTCCACTGTTTAAAGAAACTTGACAGTGAGCACCAGCTCCTTTAAAAAAAGTCACTTAATAAAAGTTATCAGGGGATGAGCAGATATAATAAACAAAAAATAATATACGAATCCTTAGATGTGTGCTTCTTAATAGAGATCTAGATGGAAAAGGATTATTAGCTGTCTGAAATTTAAGTCTTGAAAAAAGCCATTATTGCAGATTTAGCACTCAGTAGTTCAAAAGACAAGATAGAGCATTGGATCCGATTAGGCCATAGGTTGAATTGTTGAGGGAAATAAAAGTGCTATAGGACAGCCTATACAGTGTATGCCATCTGTCTAGTTCTTTACATAATTAACTTTGAAATTAATTCTCCCTGTGTAGTTGAGACTGGTCTTGAATTCCAGGTTCTTCTGACTCAGCCTTTTCAATGCTGAGATTACAGATATATGCTGGAACCTTGAGGTATTCTCTCTTACTTTTTATTCACTTTTTATTAAGATTAAAAGACCTAAGATATAATTATATTACTTCCTCCTTTGTCCTCTCTTCCCTTCCCACGTCCCTTCCTGCCAACCCTTCCCACGTCCCTTCCTGCCAACCCTTCCCATGCTCCGTCCCCCATCAAACTGAAGGCCTCTTTTGACTATTAATGTTCCACACAGGTGCATAAGTATATAAATACAACCTGCTGAGTCCCTTTGTGGCTGTGTGTATGATTTCAGGGCTGACCACTTTGTACTCAATAACCAATTATGGGACTCATCCCTGGGAGAGCTAATTCTCTTCTGTCAGCAGACATTAGTTGCCTATAGTTGTTTGTGGGTAGGGATCCTTGAGAGATTTCCCTTCTGTGTTATCATGTCTGTTGGTATTATCATTGTTGTTCAGGTCTTGTTTAGGCAGCCATATTGTTGACGTATCATGAGTGTAGCTTCTGTGTCATTTCTAAGAGACACAATCTCACGGCAGACTTCCTAGTCCTCTGGCTCTTACACTCTCACTACCTCTTCCTCCACAGTGTTCCCTGAGCCTTAGGTGCTGGAGTGCTGTTGTAGATGTATCACTTGGGGCCAGGCTTCCCATAACACATTGGTTTCTGCGCATGACCCGTTGTGGTTTTCAGTAACAATCTCCATTTGCTATGGAGAGAAATTTCTTTGATGAGCGGTAAGAGCTACACTTACCTGTGAATATAAGGGTCTATTTTAGAATGCAGGTAGGAGTTATGCTGGCCTAGTAAAGTGAGGTAGTAGGCTCTCTTCTAAGATTCTTTACCTCGATAGTCCCAGGTAGTTGGTTAGGTTTCTATTACCAGATACGCTGTTCTTCCTGTTGAGTGGTGTCTTAAGGCCAGCTAGATGGGAGCTGGTTACCACCAAGATATGAGTGCCAGTCCTGTACCTTTAGGGCTAGCTTGCTCTGGTAGTCATTGGTAAAATTCACTGGTGCCACAGCAGGGTAGGACTATTGATTGTTTCCTTTCCTTGGCAGCTTGCAAACTACTTTCTGATACTAAGGTTTGGGGACAGTAGATCATTGGTATGAGGCTTGCAGGTTATGTCCAGTTCATATCTCTAAGTCCTGTATAGGACATGTGTGGTGTCTTCAGCAATACAAGTCTTCAACCTATATTGTTTTGGGTGTCACTTGTCTACTCTGACCAATAACTCAAATGAAGGTTTCTCATGCTTGGTACATGCCTGGTGTGGACAGTGTTGTCAGCTCAAGTGCCATACCTTCATTTAACACACACACACATACACGCACACGCACACACACACACTTCATATATGTACTGTGTACAATTTTAGCTAAATATACACTAATATGATTTCTTGATGCTTTATCAAATGTCGTTGGTGTTATTGTCTCTTTCTCTCCCTTTCACTCTATTTTGAATCGCCCCTCCTCCATAAAAGCAGAATCTCCCTTCCCGCTTTTCGCATTTCCCTCTTTGTATCACCTGAGTCCTGCTCTCCTTTCTCTAGCTCCCTTCCATGGTCCCTTTTTACTTTCCTGGTTTCTAAAGTTACTTCAGATTATACACTTACTGAAGATTTTGAGGTAGAAGCGCAGCTGAGAGAACATGTGGCATTTGTCTTTCTGAGCTTGGGACACTTAGTCATTCTAATCTTTCCTAGCTCCATCCATTTACTGAAATTTTAATTAAAAAAAAATTTTTTTTAACAGCTGAATAGTATTCCATTGTGTCTATATGCCCACCACACTTGAAAGGTGGAGGAAGAAGGTTCAGGAGCTCAAGTCTAATTTGGTCTACTTGAAACCTTGTCTCAAAAGAGAGATGGGAAGGGGGGGGGGAGGGAGACATGAAGCTCACTGGTCAGCTAGCATAACTGGGTTCATAAGCTTCAGGCTTAGTGAGATCCTACCTCAAAAATAAAGGTGAAACGCAATCAAGGAAAGATGTGTGATGTCTACCTCTGGTCTCCGCACATGGATAGGAGTGGTACAGACACCATGGAAAACAAAGCACCTAAATAAATAAGAAAGAGTATTCATGTCTGCTTGAATATGCCTATGGAGCTGTGGAAAGACACAAGAACCTAATAAAAGGAGCTCCTTGACTATTTAGGATGCTTCATACTTTTTACCTTTCTTTTTCTTTCTTTTTTTAAAAATGGCTTTAAACTGTTGTTGAATCACAAGAGTAAATTAAAAGTGAGCTTTAATTTTGTTTTAAAAATTAATTCATTAAAATTCATCTAAAAGGTAAAAAACCTGTACAAGTTGCAAATTAGTACAACTGATAGTTATATTATTTTCTTATAAAAATGTAAGTCCTTTGAGTATTGCAAAGGAAATCTTGGACTGGAAGATGTGAGACATTTGTTTAAAGACTTGATCAACACTGGGGACACTCAACAGTGGAGTGCTTGCCTAGCACGGGCAGATGGCCACAGCTCTGATCCAGCATGGGAGAAAAAGAAGAGAAGACTCCTTTCCCCTGTCCCTACATGGCTGAGAGCTCACTTTTCTCTTCTCTCTTCCCCACTTTTTGCACAGGCTGGAGGGATAGCAGGTGCCTCTGTGGACTTGATATTATTTCCTTTGGATACTATTAAGACAAGGCTGCAGAGTCCCCAAGGATTTAACAAGGCTGGCGGGTTTCGTGGAATATATGCTGGTGTCCCTTCTGCAGCTGTTGGATCCTTTCCTAATGGTAAGGGTGTTGATATTCACACTGCTCAGAAGCCAAGATAGTGTTTTCGGAATAGTACAAGATGAGTATTTTAATTTTAACACATAAAATTTATTGTCTTACAACTGGTTTACTGAATTCGTTTTTTGTTCTTTGGTTGTATTTAAACAGAATGCAGAGTGTTATAGATTCCATTCCAGGACCCAGGATATTAACACCAAAAACAAAAAAAAAGGAATGTAAGAGATAATCTTTTAAAAATGTTTTTGCTATTACAGCCCCCAGTTAGAATTTTTAAAACGTTGCCTTTTCAGCATGATTCCTTAATGCAGTGGTTCTCAGCCTTGTGGCACACCAGAATTCTGGGGCAGCTTTATGAAGGAGTGTGGCAAGCATCCCAGGTGACCCAGTGGGAGGCTGGTTGGTGATCGCTGCTCTGGCATGTGAGCGGGTGAGACAGTAAGGCATTGGTCGTCTTACATCTTAGGCAGGTGCTGTTTGTCCTGGATCCTCCGCAGCCAGTATTTGTTGTTTGGGCTTTAAAGTCATGTCGTGACTTTCAGTGCTCTCATTTGGTAATTAGGGTGCTTTATTTTTTTTAATTTATGTGGAGTGTATATTATTTTCAATTACGTACCTGATTTTAATTGTTTACCAGTAGATGCTTTATTTTTCTTTTGGATTGAATCTAGGACCTTGCACATGCAGAGCAGGTAGTGATCTCTTGAGTGGTCTCCCGGTGTCTGGTGGATATTTCTAATGCTGAAAAGTAAACTAAGCCAACTGGCAAAAATGTTACACAGCACACATCCAAAGAATCATGGCTCTAGCTTCTTAAATGCTGGGGTTCACTGTCTCTTTTTCTAGATAATGAGTGAGTATGTAAGTGCCCAGTCTTTAAGCATAGCCTTCACATAAAGAAAGACTTGTAGTGCAAAAAGAAAATGGTCTTCCATCTGCTTATTGTCAAATAACTTTCCTTCCTAGCCCCTAGGAGTCACCCTTGGGCTTCCCCCAACTCAGTTGTAATTCTTTGAATATTAGCTAATGAGCTATTGTTGAACCTCGGCTTTGTATAATGCACATTTCTAAGTATGGGCGAAGGTATAGGGTTATCTCAAATAGAATGACCCGATCAACAAGGAGCTTAATGCCACCGATGCCGGATGCCGGATGGCCCATCTGCAGAGATTGTGGTTATTAGTTTTAGCTTTGTCCAGGACACTGATGTCTTAAAAAGAACCTCAGGGTGATCCTCCTCTGTGGACAAGTTTGAGGACTTTTGAGCAGGAGAGCTGCAAAGGCAGAGTCTGCTCTGTGCTCATAGCTTTTCGTAGTCACCAGTTCTTGTGGCTTTTGTGGTTCTTTAGCTCTCTCTCTCATGTATTGCAGCAAGGATTCAGGCAGGTGTGACCTCGCTGGTGGTGCATGTGGGACATGATGCTGTTTTTATGCCCATAGGACTATTTTACATTCTCCAGGGTACACACACACACACACACACACACACACCCCAGCATGTACACATATATGTGTTTGTGTACCTTCTGTTTCTGTGTCTGTGTCAGACTTCTTGCCTTTTATATTGCAAAGTTCAGGAGAAGTCAAAGCACAGCCATTTTGAAATGGAATTTCCTGGGTATTTTTTGCTGAATCACACTTTCCTTTCTAGAAACATTGTTCTTTTGTTATTGGTTAACTCTCTGTCTAGGCTGAGTGCAGAACCCACTGTAACCGTTAATGGCTATGGGCATTTTTGAGAACAGAGCCAGCACAGGTGAAGGATTGAGAGGGAGGGGGGAACTTTTTTAAAAAACCCAGTTCCCTTTTAGAAAAGAGCATAACAGAAGAAGCACCAATCTGGGGCTTTTTCGTGTGGGGGTGTGGGTCTTGACTAGCCCACCTCCTCATCTCTGCCTTGCTCAGAGCTTCTCTTAGAGCTGCACTCTGCCATCATTTCCAACTAGTAGAGCCTTTTTGGATGCTACCTGTTTGGCAGGGGCCAGAACTTAACATTTCTACATCACAAAAGTAGCTATGAATGACAAGCTTGAGGTAGTTGATGATGGAATCTAGGAGCCTTTAGCTTCCTCCTTTGTCCTGGGGGGTGGGGCTTCGGGGGTGTATGCATCTTCAGAACACACAGCCGAGTGCAGTGGAGCCCTTATAGCTGGACGTGTAGTGAATGGGCCAAAGGCAGGAAGCCATGTGAGGAACCACAAGGGAATAGACTGACTACTTACAGCATTTGTATTTGTAATTACTCGTGTGAGCAGCTGGTGGGCCCTTTACACACTGGTGACTGGGAGATGGTTTTCACTGCTGAATTGTTTTCCTGGGTGTTTAGAGCTCTCATGTCCTTCAGGAGAGGAAATTGTTGTCCCTTTATCCTCTGTGCCTTAGCTCTTATGGAAGAGGTAAAAAAAAAAAAAACAAAACAAAACCCTTTTGATTGATAGTATACAGAAAGTTTTAAAGCCTCATGTGCAGTTCTGTTAGAGCAATAAAAGTTTTTCTATTGATTTCATCCCTGCACTCCCCCCCACCCCCAAGATAGGGTCTCACTATGTAACCTTGGCTAGCCTGGAACTTGCTATGTAGACTAGACTGGCTTCAAACTCACAGAGCAATCAGCCTGCCCCTTGCCCCTGTCTCCAATTTGCTGGGATTGAAGGTGTGTGCTGCCAAGCCTGGCACTGACTTCCATTTTTAATGAAATAGTTGATGTTTGTAAAGATGAAGCAGTGAAAAGTAGCGTGGTTAGTTTGCATCATGAGTAGGCACTGTAGAACTTTTCCTTAAGGTATGTACCTTAACCTACTTAGAACTCAGTGCAGCTGATTGTTTTTAATGTCTCTGTGTAATGATACCTTGAATCTGTGAAGCCCACAGTCCGTTCTCAGAAATTTGCTAGGAAATTTTAAGTCCCTCATCAGTGAAGTGTGGTGGTGCCAGGCTACCGATTAAGTGTGCTTTGAATAGGATCAGGGATTAGGAAAAAGGCATGCACTTACCATTTCTTGTCTCATAATTTAATGATTATGGTCCCAGCTTTTGAGAGACATCCCTTAGTAGGTGAGATATTTAGTTATCCTTACAAAGACTTTTACGTTTCAGCTGCTGCGTTTTTCCTCACCTATGAATATGTGAAGTCTTTGCTGCACACCGACTCAGCTCCACACTTCAAACCCGTGAAGCACATGCTGGCCGCCTCTGCAGGAGAAGTGGTGAGCAACAGGCTACATGTGTACAGGATCTCAGAAACATAAATTATGTCTGTGTTTGTTGGGACAGATAATTGTTTCATTTTTAAAATTTGAATTTCTTTTAGCTGATAAATAACTGATAGATAAAAATCTAATGATTATATGTATCTTTTAAAGTAATGCTTTAAAACATATATATTTAAAATGTTATGTTATTTTACTTTGGTGCTGTGGTTCGAATTCAGAGCTTTTTAAATGCTAGACAAACTGTTTATCACTGTATCAGATTCTGCTGGGTAATTCTTATATCAGAATACACATATTTATCTACTCAAAATGTATTATTTATGGTGAATTTTATTTAATTAAACACATTAAACCCCTTTTGAGTCAGGATTTTACTGTGTAACCATATTGGTCTTGACCTTGTGATCCTTCTGCCTCAGCTTCCTGAATACAAAAAGAATTGAAGACATGTTAAAGCCACATCAGGCTTTAACAGTTCTTTATATATTTATGCTGCATTTAGGCACGTGTGCTGTAGATACACAAGTGTGCCTGTGGTCCTGTGCCTGGTATGTGGATCCAGGAGAGTGCTCTATCACTCCCTGTCTTAGTCCCTTGAGACAGGGAGACAGGGTCTCTCTCTGAACCTGGAACTAGGTAAGCCCCAGCCATCCAGCCCCAGCCATCCTCCTGTCTTCATCCCTAACAGGACTGGGCTTTTTGTTTTATTTTTTGTTTTTTGTTTTGTTTTTTTTTAATTATTAAAGTGGTAAAATCCCAATAAACATGAATTGATTAAACATGACAGTTAAAAGATAGCCTTAGGATGTAAGAAAAGTCCACTGTGTACTGGTGTCCGAGACAGCTCTAAAACGTCTTTCTACAGAGAGAACTAAAGAGATGGAAGAAGGTATTCCTATAAGTTTGGTTGGGGTTGTTTGTGTTAGTGTTGGAACCATTTTCCCAGGATGGCTTCTACAGCGCAGTTTTAGGTAGTCACAGAAAGTTTAAGGCATAGTGAAGCAGTAGCTGTGGCTATGAACAGGAGTTGGGTACAGGAGCAGGCACTGTGACAGACACCTCTCTGTCACTGCCCCTGTTGACCTACTGCATCAACCTCTGGCCCATACCTTCTCTTCTCCCGTCTTTTTCCTTCAGTGTCTCTAGATTCTCAGTCAAGTATGTATAGCTCTGTGGTGAGGGCTCTAGATCAACTGTGTGTTCTGTGACTTGGAATCATGTTAAGAAACCATTGCCTGATATGAGCTCAAGATAGGCTTGTATTTTCTTATACATATTTTATAGTCTTAACTCCTATACTTGGGTCTTTGCTACATTGTGAGTTGAATTTTGTGTATGGTTTGGGCTTGTGATCTAACTACTCTTTTTAAGTCTATTTTTATTGTGTCTGTGCATGTGAGTGCTGGTGCATGTGGAGGTCAGAGGCTTCCAAGGATTAAATGTAGATAGCCAAGCTGTGACATGTGATGTGATGGCTAGCTAATGTTGGTTGTCAACTTGACATGGCAGTTGAGGAATTGCCTCCTTTAGATCGGCCTGATGCAGGAGGGCCCAGCCTACTGCAAGACAGATTATTCTTAGGAAGTTGTCCTGGGCAGTCTTAGAAAGGTCGCTGAATGTGAGCCTGGGAACAAGCCAGTAAGTAGTGCTCTTTTTTTTTTTTTTTTTTTTTTTTTTTTTAAGTAGTGCTCTTTTATGGCCTCTGTTTCAGTTCCTGCTTCCAAGTTCCTGCCTTAGCTGCACTTAATGATGGACTATCTGTAAGATGCAATAAGCCCTTTCTTGCCCCCAAGTTGGTTTTGTTTAGTGTTTTATCACAACAGAAAATAAACTAGAACATACAGCAAGCGTAATTACCTGCTGAGCCATCTCACTGGCCCGAACTTTATTCTTTGGCATGTAAGAGTCCAGTTTTCAAATGTCTTTACTGGAAAGACTCTTGCTTTCCGGTAAAGACCTACACTGAGTGGCCCTAGCATTCTTGTCAATAGGCAGTTAACCATAAACATGAGATTTATTTCTGGGTTCTGAGTTCTGGCCCACTGTCACTGTGTATTCTTGCACATGCGCTACATGGTTTGTAGCCTTGTAGTAAGTCTGGAAACCATTGACAGTTTTCTTTTCTAGCATTTTCAGCATTGTTTTTAACTGCTATAGGAACTCCT